TGTGTGTGCGCGCGCGTGTGTGTGTGGTGAAACACCACATCGAAGTACCATCATCATCATCATCATCATCATCAGCAGCAGCAGCAGCAGCATCATCATCATCATTGCTTTTCTCACCCTGGGTCAGGATATAGGCCACGAATAAACACTTTCCACATTTCTCTATCCTGGGCTAGTCGCTTGATATAATTCCATGTCTTCCCACTTTTCTGTACTTCCATTTCCGTGACTCTTCTTCAGGTTCCAGCATCTGGATCATAATCATCTATCTTAACTTGTCTTATCTTATCTTATCTTATCTTTTCTTATCTTATCTTACTCTATATTATCTTATCTTATCAATGAGATAATGATCATACTTCCAGACAACATGGATTCCTACAAGGAGTGTAATCTCCACCATGAGCTGCAGTCAGGCGAGGCGATGCTCATTACAGGACAGCGCTATCCCGCGACACAGGATCTGCCTCAGGAATGCTGGGTATGTTTAGTTTTAGTTTTAGTTTTATTAGAGTGGGTTTAGTGCATTAAGTCATGTGAGCGCCAAGGGGTGGATGTCAACAGACAGGTCCATAAAAGGAATCAGGCTTACTCTGCTCACCTCTCTAGCTTCAACAGCACAAAGTCTGCTTCGACAATCAAGGCACCACGGAAATTGCGTCACAAGAGTTTGACAAACATACAAAAGAAGTAGAGGAAAAATGACGATAGTAAGGATTAGGAAAGAAGAAGTAGCAGTTCCCTGTTGCAGTTTAGGCACAGTTGAGAGCATGACATTGAGGAATCAGCCCATTTACAATTCCGCTGAGCATAAGAACATGCTAATGTCCCTCCTTAGGGAATGGCCTAAAGACACTTACGTCACTAGCACCGCCCCGTGGGGTTTTGGTATGTTTGTTGCTTGAAGGAATTCCGCAGAGGGCCGGCCAACAACACCTAACCCTAACCCTAACGCTAGCCCTTACAGACAGAGTGACAGACAGACAGACATATCGAGAGATTGAAAGTTATATAATATTATGTTTTATATTGTCCCCTCCTCCAATCTCTCTCTCCAATGTTTTATGTTGTCCCCTCCTCCAATCTCTCTCTCCAATGTTTTATATTGTCCCCTCCTCCAATCTCTCTCTCCAATGTTTTATGTTATCCCCTCCTCCAATCTCTCTCTCCAATGTTTTATATTGTCCCCTCCTCCAATCTCTCTCTCCAATGTTTTATATTGTCCCCTCCT